TTTTCTTTTTGGGATATGATATAAGTGAATAGCCAACATAGGCAAAAGACTTATGTTCAGGGTGTTGTAAGAAGGAAAATGAGAAGTCAACAAGTTCAATAAATGTCTCACAAACTCATGGTATTTCAAAGAAATAGAAACCCTCCATAAAAAAAATGAAAAAGAAAGAGAAAAGAAAAAAACAAGAAAAAAAGAAAATAAAAGAAAATGAAAAGGAGAATAAAAGTCTTGAAATAAAACCACAAAACAAAAAGAAATCAATCCATGGATGGAAATAAAATTTCACGATCTCCAAGTACACCGTAGATGTTAGGGCAATCCTTGGGTCGCAACACGACGTACTTGACCTCTTAGAGGTCTTATAAAATCCACTTGATTTCATTACATAACATCATGCATAAATGGAAGGAATTTAAAAACATTCTTAAAACATAAACCAAAAGGTCTTTGATAAAAGCGGAATCATCTCTAGTAACATTGTCTCAAATACCGTCTAACTTTGGCATAAATTAAAATCTTGGGACGCAGCCCACATAAACTCTAAACTATAAAGAAAGACATGAAGGAACATAAACGTTCGTCCTCGAAGCTATGAGGACTCACACCTTGTTCTTTTCTTGGAAACCTTGGAACTCTACCGTTTAAAGCAACTCAATCTTCTCAAGACCCTAAATGGACAATATGTGTTTGTTGGATATGTACTAAGTATGGAAACTATCACACCAAACATAAGATATCTCAAAGGGTTAGTCAATAATAGACATAATCATAAGAGATAAAGACATAATCATAACATTTTATATATATCATAAGCATATCAAAGCATAATAAAACATATAATATAATAGTTCATACTTAACCCTTTTTGTCTTTTTACTCAAATGAACAATATCACAAGCCACCTCCAAGTTTACTCATGCAAGGCTGAGGTAGTGTTAGACCCACAAACTACTTGATCTAACTACATGCAGACATGTAGAGGACTTGGGCAAGGCAGCTTGAACGTGCATGGTTTATGTGCGGGCTAAGGTCATTGTCAAGACAACATTTTGACTTGATAAGGCAAGGCTGTGAAGACTTGACAATGTCAAGAACAAAGGCAATTCACCCGAATTTCTGAAATAAAACTAAGTGTTGGAAGACATCTAAAATATTCTAAGTGTTGGAAGCTGGCAAAAATATTGTAAGTGTTGGAATGAAGCCTGAAATATTCTAAGCATTAGAATATTAGTATTTCGTGTAGATAAGAATGTAATTTGAATTAGATTCTATCTGTTAGAAATATAGCTGTTGGAAAGTTAAGTTTTGAACCATGTGATGACAAGTGTTTGACAAGTGTCATTTGGAACTGCCGCATGTAACTGCCATTATGCAGAATTTTTAATTAAGGGTGGAAATTCATCAAAGGCTGAGATAGAGTGTTTTTTTAGCCTTAGACTAATTCGTAAAGCCTTCCTTTGTATTAATTACAAATTAATAAAGGTTGGGACAGGTTCTTGTAAATTCTGCTGGCTATTTTACTTTGTTGTATAAGTATTTTCATACTTAGTCAATTTCGTGGGTGTAAAGTAGGCTGAGTTTTACAGACGTTTGTAAGACTGCCTAGAGTGGTCTTCGGTAAAAATAAATCGACCTATTTCAATTGGTATCAGAGCACAGTTGAACGATGGTGAATAATGCAAAACTGTGGGATACGACACGAAAAATTGAATCCTTCGTCGGGTTTACTGTTGATATTTTGGGAGACCCTACGTTTGTGGTTTTATTTACACAAATCATTGATTTGAGACTTGATGCTGAGAAATTTCAGGGGAAGATTGGTGGATATCGAAAGAATGTTGATAATGATATCACTGAAATCTTGGATTTTCGTACCACAACTACGCAAAAACTTGAGGGACTGCAGAAGGAAAATGAGAACCTTCGTGCAAAGCTCGTTGTATTGTGCCGAGCTGTGGCTATGTTGAATTCAAATCGTTTTGAATCATCTAAGATTAAAATTCAAGAACCAAGGGCCTTTAGTGGTGTAAGAAGTGCTAAAGAACTGGAAAATTTCATTTGGGACATGGAACAATATTTTACTGCTGCAAGGGTGCCTGACGCTAACAAGTTAAATATTACCACAATGTATTTGACGGGTGATGCTAAACTTTGGTGAAGGACTCGAAATGCAGATGATGTAAGTGATGGTCGTCCTAGAATTGATACATGGGATAAGTTAATAAAAGAAATGCTTGATCAATTTCTTCCTCGCAACACATCTTGGCTTGCAAGGGATAAATTGAAAAGGCTAAGGCTGACGGATTCAGTGAGGGAATACATTAAAAAATTTACCTCTGTGATGTTAGAAATACAGAATATGTCTGATGAGGATAAAGTACACATCTTCATTTCGGGTATGCAAGGCTGGGCTCGAAATGAACTATGGAGGCAAAATATAAAAGATCTGCCCAGTGCAATTGCTGCTCCAGATTCGTTAGTTGATTTCTGAACGACTCGTCCTTTGACAGACGTTCCCTTCACTTCGAAAACTATGAAAAAGAATGAGAAGAAAGGGGAATGGAAAAAGGCACAAATGAAGGATAAAAAAGACATGCCAAAGAACAAAGATGGAAATTTTAAGGGCTGTCGGACTTGTGGTGGTCCTTATTTGGCCAAATCTTGTCCAAACCGGGAAAAAGTGAATGCTCTGCTTACTGGAAGTATGAATCAAAGAGAGGAGGATGAAGAAATCGTGGCTGCAATTGAAAACCCATTGGGATTGTCCTTCAATCATATTACAGGGATTAATAATGTTAGAGAATTATTTAGCACTTCGAATCCTCAGGCTTTCTTAATTCATATAGAAATGAAAGTGAAAGAACAATGTGTGATGGAAATTTTTGATACAGGGGCCACTCATACGTTTGTAGATGTGAAAATTGCTACAAAATTGGGGCTGAAGTTTTCTAAAATCCCTTCAACGTAAAAACAGTCAATGCTAAGGCACAAGTCATTGTGGGCATGGCTTATAGTGTGTCTATGTCAACTGGAAGTTGGGTGGGAAAACATAACTTGATGGTGATGCCGCTTGGTGACTTTGAAATCATACTTGGGTTTGATTTCCTAAGAAAATTCCAGTTTGTTCCGTGTCCTCACTTAGATGGAGTGATGGTCATCAATGGAAGCAATGTTGGATTTCTCAAAGGTGTTCATCCAATTGGGAACATTAATAAAGTTGCAAAGAGGAAAGACAAGGGAATGTTGTTGTCTTCTATGTCAATCGACAAAGGGCTGAAGAATGTCGATGACACTATACTTGCTGTCATGGTCGAAGTAAAACCTTTATTAGAAAATGGAAGTGCCTGATAGTGTTGTTGAATTGCTTAGACAGTATGCGGATGTTATGCCGCCTGAATTACCAAATAAATTACCACAAAGGAGGTATATTGATCATAAGATTGAGTTGTTGCCTGGTATGGTTGCTCCCGCACAGGCTCCTTATCGTATGGCTCCTAAGGAATTGGTTGAATTACGCAAACAATTGAATGAGTTGTTGGATGCTGGATTGATTCAGCCATATAAGGCCCCATATAGTGCTACTGTTTTATTTCAAAAGAAATACGACGGGACGATGCGATGTGTGTAGACTACCGGGCGCTGAACACGGCAACTATAAAGAACAAGTATCCAGTTCCGTTGGTGCAAGACTTGATGGACAGGTTAAGTAAGGCATGCTGGTTCACAAAACATGATCTCAGGGCAGGTTATTGGCAGGTTAGGATAGCTGAGGGTGATGAACCAAAATCACATGTGTAACTAGATATGGTTCATATGGATACCTTGTAATGCCATTTGGGCTGACTAATGGCCCGACAACGTTTTGCAACTTAATGAATAATGTATTTTTTGACTATCTTGATGACTTTGTTGTTGTTTATCTAGATTATAATGTCATTTATAGTCGAACATTGGAGGAACATGTTAATCACCTAAGTTTGGTTTTGTCTCAATTGAGAAAATACACACTTTATGTCAAGATGGAAAAGTGTGAGTTTGCTCAACAAGTTATAAAGTTCTTGGGGTATCTTGTTAGTAAAAACCAACTTTGAATGGATCCCAAGAAAGTGCAAGCCATTGTTGATAGGCAGGCACCTCTTCATGTGAAGGATTTGAGGTCGTTTCTTAGCTTGGCTAACTATTACAGAAAGTTTATTGCTGGTTACTCAAAAAGGGCAGTGGCTTTGACAAATTTGTTGAAGAAGGATACAAAGTGGGTTTGGTCTAAACGATGTGATGAAGAATTATAGAATTTGAAGAATGCTATTGCATCTGAACCTATACTCAAATTGCTTGATTTTGAGTTACCATTTGAAGTGCACACTGATGTGTCAGACAAAGCAATTCGTGGCGTATTAGTGCTGGAAGGTCATCCAGTGGCCTTTGAAAGTAAGAAATTGAATGATGCTGAACAGAGATACTGAACACATGAAAAAGAAATGGTTGCGGTGGTACACTGTTTGCAGGTTTGGAGAGTTTATCTCTTGGGTACTCGATTTGTAGTAAGAACTGATAATGTAGCACATACATTTTTCAAGATATAGAAAAAGTTGAGTCCTAAACAAGCATGGTGGCAAGAATTCCTGGCAGAATATGATTTCATGTGGGAACATAAACAAGGAAAATACAACCAGGTTACTGATGCGCTGAGTAGAAAAGAAGTATTTGTTGCAGTATATTCGATTTCAACACTTGAAACTGATTTCTATGATAGAAATAGGTTGTGTGCTGCAAATTATTCATTATATATTAAATGGGTGGGTCAAGTGCATGATGGCACAATGAGATAATATTGGATCAAGGACGATCGGCTCTATTTTAAAGGGAGGAGAATCATTGTACCAAATCAAGGCGGGTTGCGCAAAGACTTAATGAAAGAGGCGCATGATTCTGCTTGGGCTGGACAGCTCGGTGTTGAAAGGATGTTAGCCTTACTGTCTCGTTTTTATTTTTGGCTAAAAATGGAAGACGATATAGAGGCATACGTCAAGATTTGTAATGTTTGTCAAGTGGATAAGACTGTACGTAAGGAGGAAGCAGGTTTGCTGCAACCTTTGCCTTTTTCTGAAGGGCCATGGCCATCAGTAAGCATGGATTTCATTTATGGATTCTCTAATGTAGATGGTAAAGCATCTATCATAGTGGTAGTTGACAGGTTTTCAAAATATTCTATTTATATTGCTGCTCCTGAATAATGCTCATCTGAAGTTGCTGTTGATTTGTTCTACAAACATTTGGTTATGTATTTTGGTGTTCCGGCTGACATTGTGAGTGATATAGATACAAAGTTCACTAGTAGATTTTGGACATCATTGTTCAATATGATGGGAACTGAATTAAAATTTTCTACCGCAAATCTTCCACAAACAAATTGGCAGACGAAAAGAATTAATCACTTGTTGGAAGAATACTTGAGGCACTATGTGACATCAAGTAGACGAAATTGGATAATTTAGACACAGTGCAATTTTCCTAGAATCTGCACAAGTTGTCTGCAACAGAAATGAGCCCTTTTGAAATCGTCTTACGCAGACAACCTATGACTCCAGTAGATGTTGCCAAATCTAATAATCAGGGAAAGTGTCCAGCAGCATACAGGGTTGCAAGGGACAGACTTGAAATGTTATCTGAGGCACAAGATATCTTTCACAAGGCTCAGTGGCACATGAAGAAGTATGCTGATCAACATCGTCGCTAAGTTGAGTTCAATGTTGGTGACAATGTGTTGTTGAAACATACCCCACAAATCCGGAAATAGATTGTAAGTAAGACCAGACATCGCGGTTTGATTCCTAAGTATGATGGTCCATTCAAAGTGGTGAAATGAGTGGGCGAAGTTGCTTATAGGTTGAAGCTGCCAGAAAGGTTTAAAATCCATCCCACTTTCCATGTGAGTTTTTTGAAACCTTACTTTGAAGATGTAGATGATCCGGATATAAACAGGTCAAAGAGGGATCCTCCATCAGTACCTACACAGTATGATGCTGAAATTGAGAAGATCCTTGATCACCGAGTTTTGGGCACAAGTAAGAAGAATATTAAGACTGAATTCTTGGTTCACTGGAGACGCAAGAGTGCAGCCGATGCAGCTTGGGAGTAGGCAAAAGAATTATGGCAGTTTGATGCTCAGATCAAGGGTTATCTTAAAACAGTCTCGATGAGGACATCGATTTCAAGTGGTGAGGGTGGTCTGTTTGACCCACAAACTACTTGATTTAACTACGTGCAGACATGTCAAGGACTTTGGAATTGGTCTTGATATGGATGATGGCAAAACAGTGCAACACAAGTTCAAGGTGCTTGGGTGTGTGCAAGGCAGCTTGAACATGCATGGCTTACGTGCAGGCTAAGGGTATTGGCAAGAACGTATGTGACTTTATAAGGCAAGGCTATGAAGACTTGACAATGTCAAGAACAAAGGCAGTTCACCCGAATTGCTGAAATAAAACTAAGTGTTGGAAGACAGCTAAAATATTCTAAGTGGTGGAAGATGGCAGAAATATTCTAAGTGTTGGAATGAAGCCTGAAATATTCTAAGCATTAGAATATTAGTATTTCGTGTAGATAAGAATCTAATTTGAATTAGATTCTATCTGTTAGAAATATAGTTGTTGGAAAGTTAGTTTTGAACCCTGTATTGACAAGTGTCGGACAGGTGTCATTTGTAACTACCGCATGTAACTGCTATTATGCAGAACTTTTATTTAATGGTGGAAATTCATCTAAGGTTGAGATAGAGTGTTTTTTGCCTTAGTCGAATTCGTGAAGCCTTCCTTTATATTAATTATAGATTAATAATGGTTGGGACAAGTTCCTTTAAATTCTGTTGGTTGTTTAACTTTGTTGTTTAAGTATTTTCATACTTAGTCAATTTCATGGGTATAAAGTAAGCTGAGTGTTACAGACGTTTGTAAGACTTCCTAGAGTGGTGTTCGGTAAAAATAAATCGACCCTCTTTCAGGTAGCATCCCATACCACCACCAAAGCTAAGTAAATACCTTTGATCATTCTTTATCATAGACAACATTTAATACCTAAGTTCATTATAACGTATGAGCGCTATGACCCTAGACCACCTCAAACCACACTTGTGCAATGCATGTGAAACATCCCATACTACTTCAAACACTAAGCATATCTTGAAGTCACCCTATCTTTTTTCATTTCATATAGGAGTCTCTATGAGAACTACTTCATCTTGTCAAGGAACCATCATCTTAAGTCAACCATATCATGGAACGCAACTATAATCTCTATCCAAGAAAAGCATATATCATGTATGGGTCATGTCATAGGTAGCTTCATGTCATACTTGTGCAATGTATAGATGGCATCACAAACTACTATCCATACTTAGTATTTGTCTAGACTAACCTAATCCAAGCTAACTTATCTTGCAACCTTGTCTTTTAATCTCAACATACTACCATAATAGACCTACTACCATGGGAAGTATCTCAATATGCTAACCAAGCTACTAAAGAAAGGTTACAACCATCCTAACAACCAAGCAACCAATCATGTAGAATCAAGATAACCATAGGGGAGCATGAATCCTCAACCCTAAGATACCATGAGAAACTAACCTCAAGCTATTTCATGAATTACACCTGACATGCAAATCAAGCTATCCTTAGAAGAGTAAAGCCCTTTTTCATAAAGCTACCATGAAATGGTTTTGGCCAAACCAAGTCAAACTACCAAGAAGTTCGACACCTCATGCTACAATGATTAATCTACCCTAAGCTTCCATGAGATTTCAACATCTCAAGCTACCATGAGTATTTCAACTCAAGTCTCCTTGATATTTACTATCTTAAGCTACCATTGAGATCTTAATATCTCAATCTATCATGAGATTTGTATCTCAAGCTACCATATCCTTTATGTTGTATCACCAAATCTACTACTCAAGAAGTGACCATCCAACCCATCTTCAAGTTAAAATTAGTCTATCATAATTCATACTCCATTACATCTTAATCTATGAAATTAGACTATGAGAAGGTAATTATAGTCATTCATGATCAAATAGGTTCAATTCTAATATTCTAATTCAAAACCCTTCTTTTATCAATTAAACCTAGTTCGATTCAAATCTAGGCAATTCAATAATGATTGAATATTATCTAATACAATTGAATTAAGTAGATCAACATAAAACCTTCATCTAACCTCTAATGGCCTAAAATCACCATGATCTTCTTCAAGTTCAACTCCTATAAATTAACCGTGGAAAAATCATGAAAACAGAATATATTCATCACATGAATATAGATTGGGATTACAATCCAGCCTTACCCACAATCCAATCACAACCCTCTCTTGAATGGGGTTCTTTGGATTCTTAATTGTTGAAAAATAGGGGGGCTTCATGGATAGAAGAATCCATGCATGATTAAGCATCACATATCTTAGATAACATAATTAAACCCTGCTTCAAACCTTGATGAATTCGTCCTCAATCAGCGTCCAATTTCTCTTCTTCTTCAGTGGCGGTTTTGGGAGAGAAAGATTTTTGGAGTCTAGGGTATAAATAGCTATTGCACTGATTTTATATTCTTTTATTACCTAAAATAACCGAAAATATTTCATCCCTAAAGTTCCCAAAAGAACCCTGCAACTATTTGACATTTTAACCAACTCAAATTTGACTTAAAAACAACGCGACCAAAGTTTGAAGGGTACTGCGCGTCGCGGAGACATTTTTGATTCTTGGTTCTGGAATTTTTGGAGATTGAATGGTTCGTGAAGGAACTGAATTGCGGGGCAAGATTTTTTCCCCTTCAATGCCAGCTGCGCCACACGTAGCCACTGCTATATCTTTGCTGGAGCGGCAGCTTGCGTTGCCCTTGTTTGGGTCATCTTTGGGGACCTTTTGGCTGGTCCCCGGGGCGTCGTTCTCGGATGATTTGACCCTTTAAATGTTATTGTATTATTAGGAACCATCTATACTCAATTTCACTCTCAAACCATCCCCTAAATTTTCACTACAAAAACACTACGACACAGTTGTTCAACTTTGACTAGTCTCCTAACGTCTTGGACATTCTTGGTAATTTGACCTCGAAAAACTTCCAAAATTTATATCATTCCTATAAAAACCATTATTAACAATTTTAAGACATTAATACCTTATGATGCAAGTCTTAGGATCTAGTACAACCTAGTTCATTTTGAGGGTCTGACATAAAATATGACTTAGTAGAAGTTGACTAAGGATTAAGGAAGGAAGATAGGGGATATCATAAGGAAATCAAATCTAAAAGGAAAAAATTTCACTTGGCTCAAATGAGCATACATTGTCACTCGGCCCTTTTACAAGCTTAGAAAGACATTTTTGATCCTGAGTGAAATGAAATGAAGGTCAATTAGAAAATAAGGGCAAACCTATGGGTGAAAACATGGAATGTTTTCCTCGTTGTTAGTGTGAGTGTTGAATCATATTCCTTATCCTAAGTTAATAAATCTACCTGTGTGAAAATGGAATCACTCTTTATATGAGGTCATGTAGAGCTTGAACTTGCATTAGTAAAAAGTATTGTGAGTTTAAGAATCTTTGGTAATAGTGTGTCACAACTTAAATCTTTGAGTAGATGTTTGAGGTATGCATGAGTAGTTTTAGTCTTCTTGTATACACTCATGATTGAGTCTTGTGTAGCACTATTTAACACATCCTATTTGAATTCCTAAAATTGAGTTTTACATGAGGATAAGAAAATTTTTAAATTGGGGTGTTGATCAGTTCTGAAATTGGACTCATCTATTTGGTAGGGACCTACAAATGGGGGACTAAGTTTAACTTTTTTTCCAAACCTCATCACAACCTTCATGGGTGATATTTTCAAATATACCCAGTCACCAACTTCAAATTCTAACTCTATTCTCCTCTCACAGGCATAAGATTTTTTCCTACTTTGAGTCATTTTCAACCTCTCTCTAATAAGTTGAAATTTTTCAATAGCTTCATAAACCAACTTGGTGCAACTAAGAGCAATGTCTCATTCTTCAAACCAACCAACTGAACATATATATCTCTTACAATACAAAGCTTCAAAAGGAGACATACCTAGACTTGAGTGGTGACTATTATTATAGGAAAATTCTACCAAGGGAAAGTGATCATCCCAATTACCTTTAAAATCTATAATACACACCCTCAATATGTCCTCAAAGGCTTGAATGATACTTTTTGTTCTACCATCTGTTTGAGGGTGGAAACAAGTGCTATGCATCACCTATTGCCAATCTCTTTTTGGAATAATTTCAAAAAGTGAAAAGTAAACTGAGGACCCTAATTTGACATGATAGATAGAGAAATCCCATGAAACTTCACTATCTCTCTTATATATAACTTAGCATAATTTTCCACTGAGTGATATATCTTGACGGGAATGAAATGGCTGATTTGGGCATCGTATCAACAACGACCCAAATAGCATCATATTTCTTTAGAGTTCAAGGAAAACCTATAATAATATCCATATTCACCTCTTCCCACTTCAAAGTGGCAATTGTCATATCTTGCAAAAGTCCACCCATCTATCCGTGCTCAACCTTTGATGGTTGAAGATTAAGATGTCTTGCTACGAATCACAAAATATCCTTATTAATACCATTGTACCAATAGACTTCTTGTAGATCATGGTACATCTTGGTGGCTCTCGGATCAATATAGTATCTAGATCTTTGAGCGTTTTCTAGAATTTTCTGTCTTAGCCCATCCAAATCTGGAACACATAATCTACCTTGGTATGTTAGTACCAAATCTTCCTTTGTAAAGAAATCCTCAACGGATTTCCCAAGTGACGATTCTATCAAATCAATCAATATAAGATAAAAGTGCTTCTCAGACATACATCTACAACAAAATATGATTCGGAGCCCTTATGAACTGATAAACAACCATTGGGAGAATCTACTAGTTGTACACCTAATAAGGCTTACCTGTGCATATCACAGACTAACTCTTTCGTTTTATCCTCTAGTTGGGTCATAGTAACCATGGATAGTCTACTAAGGGCATCCGCCACAAAATTATCTTTACCGGGGTGGTAAGGAAACTTATGTAATATTCCTTAAACATCTCTAACTACCTTG